GCAGCCTGCTGGCCCCCTGGCCTGGGCATAATAATAACGATGTCATCAGCCAGGCAGTGTCTGCTTTTCCATCGGTCCCTGAAGATAGAATTATATTTCTCCTGTCACAGATAATAATGGTGATAACAGCTAACATTAATTGAATGCTTCTAGGTGCTGAGTGTTTCCCAAATACTGTCTAATGTAATCCACCCTTCTGGAAGGGGGGAGGGGGGAGAGGGCAGAACAGAGGCAGGTGCCTCCCAAGCCATGCGCTCTGAGATTTGAACCCAGATGGGGGCCGGCCAGGTCCAAGGAAGGCTGAGTGATTAAGCCCTGCCCTGCCCCGTCTCTCAGTGACCACCGACCCCCCACCCGACGTGCACGTGAGCCGAGTCGGGGGCCTGGAGGACCAGCTGAGTGTGCGCTGGGTTTCCCCACCGGCCCTCAAGGACTTCCTCTTCCAAGCCAAGTACCAAATCCGCTACCGGGTGGAGGACAGCGTGGATTGGAAGGTGCCTGACAATCCCCCCGTCCCTCAGCTCCCACCCCACTCTGCGCCTCCCCGCCCCCACCTCTGGCCTCTGACCCTGCCATTGCCACCAGGTGGTGGACGATGTCAGCAACCAGACCTCGTGCCGCCTGGCCGGCCTGAAGCCGGGCACAGTCTACTTCGTGCAAGTGCGGTGCAATCCTTTTGGCATCTATGGCTCGAAGAAGGCAGGGATCTGGAGCGAGTGGAGCCACCCCACGGCCGCCTCCACCCCTCGCAGTGGTGAGCACCCCAGCGGGGCTGGGTGGTCAGGAGACCAGTCCCAAAGCAGCCAAAGCCTTTGTTTCTTCGTTTCCTCCAAGAGAGCAGAGTTCTCAAATTGGTGGCCCTTAGGGGCCAAATCTGGTCCTTGGATCCATTTTCTTTGACCTGTCATTTGGAAAAAAAAAAAGTTTGACCTACTTGCAGACATTTAAAAACAGGAAGTTTTCACACAAATATCCTAGGTTTCCTAGAAAGATTGTCTAGAAAATGTTGGGGGCGCCTGGCTGGTTCAGTCGGAAGAGCATACGACTCTTGATCTCGGGGTTGAGTTCGAGCCCCACGTTGTGTGTAGAGATTACTTAAAAATGAAAAAAATTTTTTTTAAGATTTTATTTATTTGAGAGAGAGCAAGGGAGAGAGAGAGCATGAGTGTGTGTGTGGGGGGTGGGCAGAGGGAAAGGGAGAAGCAGACTACCCCCTGAGCAGGGAGCCTGATGCAGGGCTCAATCCCAGGGCCCTGGGATCATGACCTGAGCGGAAGGCAGATGCTTAACCGACTGAGCCACTCAGGCACCTCTAAAAATAGAATCTTTTTTTTTTTTTTTAAGATTTTATTTATTTGCGAGAGAGACAATGAGAGACAGAGAGCATGAGAGGGAGGAGGGTCAGAGGGAGAAGCAGGCTCCCTGCTGAGCAGGGAGCCCGATGTGGGACTCGATCCCGGGACTCCAGGATCATGACCTGAGCCGAAGGCAGTCGCTTAACCAACTGAGCCACCCAGGCGCCCCTAAAAATAGAATCTTTAAGCAAGAAAATGTAACAGGACACAGCCAGAGTGTGTCCACAGCCCCTATCAGGCCCCATCATTCAGGGGCCTCACTCTCCAGTTGCCCCACCCCCACCTGGCACATTTTGCCCACCTGTGCCCTCTCTCGAGCCCCTAAAGACAAGGGAGTTTGAGACCTCTGCTTCTTTTTTTTTTTTTTAAGATTTTATTTATTTATTTGAAAGAGAGAGAATGAGAGAGAGCACATGAGAGGGGGGAGGGTCAGAGGGAGAAGCAGGCTCCCCGCCGAGCAGGGAGCCCGATGCGGGACTCGATCCAGGGACTCCAGGATCATGACCTGAGCCGAAGGCAGTCGCTTAACCACTGAGCCACCCAGGCGCCCTGAGACCTCTGCTTCTGAGGCTGATTGGCTACCAACTCTCCCTCTGATGGGCCTTGGGTTCCCTTTCTGATCAAGGTGGGGGGTGGGGACAATCAGGAGCCTGGATCTGACTTCCCTTGCCCTCTGGGGTTTCTCTAAGCCCATGATCCTCCATTCTCTCCTTGGTGAAATGTTACGAAATACGTTAATTGAAATGTCTGACCTCAGCTTTTCCATCTGGAAAGTGGGCACAATAATACCCACCTCAGGCTATTGTTAGGGTTAGATGAGATAACCCAAGAAAGTGCACTCATGGTGGGCACCATCTAAGTGTTTGCAGGTAGTAGTGACCAAGGCTCCCATCTCTTGCTCCCCCATGATTCCCCCCCCCCCCCCCCCCCGGGAAGGGAATCCCTTTTCTCAGGTGAGGACACTGAGGCCCTAGGACGTTCAGCCAGCCCCCAAAGTCACACAAGGATCTGAACTCAGTTTCCTGGAAAGTCCAGGCGCATGCTCGTGGGATGATGGGGAAACTGAGGCCCAGAGGGGGGGTCCCAAAGCTAGGGAGGGACAGAGCCAGGCTCCAGCCATTTCCCCAGCCCCCATCCTGGGCCCCTCCAGGTTCTGGGGGTGGGCGGGATCTACGACGGCCGGGAGGGGCCTGCGCCTTGGCCCCTGCTCGTGCCCAGCACCTGCGATTCTTGCGCAGGAGCCAGCAGGCGGCTGCGTCCGCTGGAGAGGCTGGGGAGGCCGGGGGAGGCCAGCAGGGGCGGTGGGGGCCGTGGCCGTGCCAGGGCCTGTCAGCGGGTTCCCGGCGTTATTTATGATGTGAGGCCGATGTCCTTATCTGCCGGCCTGCTAGGGGCTGGCTGCGGCCGGCAGCTGGACCGACAGGCCGGCCTCCCACCTGGCCCTCCCAGCCCACTCCCCATCCCACTGGCTCCCGCTCTCAGGCCTGTCCTGGGGACTGCCTCCCCGCCGCCCCCACTCCGGGTCTCCTCTGTCTCCCTTCATCCCTCTGTCATTCTCTTCCCCTGTACCTCTCTGCATTTTTGCCTTTTTTGGTTTCTGTGTCCCTACACGCCCATGGTCTCTGTCTCTGCCTGCTGCAGCCCTCTCTTAACCTCGCCCTTTTCTATCCCTCTGCATCTCCTTGGCTGTCCCCTATTGCTTTGGCCCTCTCCACATCTCCCTGTCTCGCCTTGTCTCCATCTTTCCATCTTTCCATCTCTGCCTCTCTCTCTCTCTCTCTCTCCAGCTCTCCCTCACTCGTGTCTCTCTTGCCCCTTCTCCGTCCCTTGCTCTGGGTCTGGGTCTCATCCCTCTGGCCCTGGCTCCTCTCCTTCTTCCCCTCCCTTTCACTCACACCTGGCTCAGGCCACGGGAATGAGGTTCCTGCAGGAGACGTGGGGGAGGAGCCCCCTCCTTCCCCTGCCTCCCACCTCCTCCCGGGCTCAGCTGGGCCGCTGTGCTGAGCGGTGCAGAGGACCCGATCCGGAGACACCGGGAGGGAGGTGCCCAAGGGGAACACGGTCCCGCCGAGCCGCGGAACCTCCCTCTCCTGCCCTCGCGCGCCCTCTGCCGGGCGCGCCGTGACGCTGCCGCTCCCCCCATCAGAGCGCCCGGGCCCGGGCGGCGGGGCGTGCGAGCCGCGGGGCGGCGAGCCGAGCTCGGGGCCGGTGCGGCGCGAGCTCAAGCAGTTCCTGGGCTGGCTCAAGAAGCACGCGTACTGCTCGAACCTGAGCTTCCGCCTCTACGACCAGTGGCGAGCCTGGATGCAGAAGACACACAAGACCCGCAACCAGGTAGGAAGGAGGGACCGGCGGGCGAGGGATGGAGTGGTGGGGGCAGAGAGGGAATCGGGCTGCGGGGGGGAAAGGGGGGAGGTCCGCAGCCCCCAGACACTGCCTCCTTCCTTCCAAGCACAGGACGAGGGGATCCTGCCCTCGGGCAGACGGGGCACGACGAGAGGTAAGGGAAGCCCACCCCAGCTGGGTGGGTGGGCAGGGAGGGAGACAAGGGCCCCTCCTCGTGGCCACAGGCCGTGGGCCCCCCACCCTCAGCCTTAGAGTTGTTGAGATGGAATCCCTTCCTCCATCGCCTATTTATCAGCATTTCCTAACACCCAGTGATTGCCTGGTCCTGTGGCCTTCAGCCTGGTAAAAGCATCTGACCCCCGCAAATGTCCAAAGTGGAACATAATCCTCAGGAATGAACATACTCATCCCAGTTAGCATGTATGAGCACCTACTGCATGCTCACCCTGTGCCAAGAGCTTTACCTACAGGAGACCCCTTGGGACAAACAGATATTCTTACTTCTCAAAGGGGAAAGCCAAGGCCCTGAGAGGGGGCAGTACCCTACCCAAGGTCCCCAAGCTGAAAGTGGCAGGACCAGGACCTGAAGTGGGGCTTCCTCAATTGCTCTGTTGTACTGGCCCCTCCCAGGCTCCCTGCTTAGCTTGGCTTCCCCTCTGCCTGCAGGTCCTGCCAGATAAGCTCTAGGGACTGGGGCCACCCTCCCTGCTGCGTGGAGACACGGGGGCCGCACCCAGACTGGGGGCTAACTCTGTACCCTCACCTCAGGGCACCCAAGCACCCTCGGCAGGAGCTGGGGTGGCTATTCTGAGGGTAACAACATCTTTGGCCTCCACGTGAGGCCACTCTTGGGTGCAACTCCAGTGGGGGTGTGTGTGAGGGTTGGCTAAGCTGCCCAGAACCCCTGCCAGGGCTGGGGGTGAAGAGGGGTCATTGCTCCCCCCCCGCCCCATCCAGGACCCCTACAAAGAGTCTTTTTAAATAAACAAGCTATTTAGGTGCCCTGATTGTGAAGATATTTGGGGCTGGATTGGCCCAGGGTAGGGGCTGTGGGGTTTAGAGAAAGCATGAGGAATCCTAATGACCTTATGGGATTGGAATCTTTGCATCCCAGAATTTCAGACTCTCCAGGAGGTGAACTATCTGGCTTTAAACTCATTGGAGGGTGTGATTCAAAAGGCCGGCTCTACTGGGAGCGGGGGGTGGGGGTGTCTTGCACCTGCCATCCCTGGCCTTGTGGGGCCTCCTCCCCAGGGACACCCATCCCAGCACCCCAGGACGCAGAGACAGTGAAGCAGCTGCAAATGAAGGGTCCTTTATTGTGGGAGTCACAGCAAACTCAAGGGCTGTCAGCAACCTGGTGGAGCATGACCCCAGCCAGCTGACAGTCCAGGGGTGGGCTGGGTGCCATTCACGCCATTTCCCGTGTCCCTCGGCGTGTCCCTGGGGAGCCACCATCACTCGGCAGATTCTGCATCAAACCTAAGGTCCTGAAGAACCTCGCTGATTGCTTCCATGGTTTTAATTACCCTACAAGAGCGCATCGGGACTATAAATAAAACCCAGATGGGGAGAATTAGCCGCCATTGCGCAGCTCCTAGGGGGCTGTGGCAAGCCCCGGGCCCTCCTGCCCACCGCCAAAGTTCCAGTGGCCAAGAGGACCATTTGGCTGCCAGGGAAGGAGGGGTGGTCTGTGGGTGAGGGTGGGCAGAGAGAAAAAGCCACCTTGGTGGGTGCCATCCGAAGATGTGCTGTGTCACAGAGCAGAGAGCCTGTGGGCGAGCACTTGGGTGTGTGCTGGAGGGAGGCTGGAGGCAGGAATGTGCAGGCCTGTGTCTGGTGGGCCTGGGCAACCATGTCCAAGCTCAAAGTCCAGCCATGTGAGTGGGATTGGCATGTGTGAGGTGCCCAACTGTGTCCCGGAAATGCACGGCGAGTCTGGTGTGAAATTGCAGGGCACGTGCACTTGGGGGCAATGTGTGCTGTATGTCTGGGAGCCACCAGGTCAGGACTCCAGTGTGCATACCCTGAGGGTTGTGTGCAGGTCCAGAGGGTCAACCCAGTATGACCGTGCCAGCCCTGGGGCACAGCTGGCTAGGGATGGGTGCCTGAAGGTGCACGTGCAAATCTACCACCGCCAGCCCCCTGGGAAGGAGTGCTCACTTCATCTTCAGCTGGTGCATCTCCAGAGTGTTCTCCTGCCCAGACAGCTCTGGTGCCCCCATCAGCTGCAGCAGCGCCACCTGGTAAGGGCAACAGGGAGGCCGTCACAGCCGGCAGAGACCCTCGCCTGCCCTCCCACACAGATCAGGGAGGGAGACGCCAGAAGCACCCAGAAAGGCAACGATGACCCCGAGTCTCAAGGGGCGGTGCTTCGCACGGGAGGAGTCTGGGATTCAGTTTAAAGGGGCTCCTGAGGAGGACCGGGTGGGCAGGCCCTAGAGTGAGTGGGTGGTGCCGCGTGGGTGTGGTCACAGGAAGGCGTGGTATGGGAAGAGCGGAGAAGGCTCAGCCTGGAACTGGTGACAGGGGTGGAGCAGGCAGGGCCTCATAGTCTCAAGGATGTGGCAGGGCGTTATAATCCCAGGATGGAAGTAGGCCAAACACCTAGACTGGGATTGGGGTCTCCTAAAGCAGCGTGGCCTGGAAATCCCAGTTTGGAGGGTCATGTGGGCGTGGCCTCAGGTGGGCTGGGTCTGGGAATATTGTGTTTCGGCCAGGATTGGCTGTAGGGGCAGAGTAGGCGGGGCCTTGGAAACCTAGAGGAGGAGCAGGCCCAGAACCTAGGCTGGGATATAGGGTTACTCAAGAGGGGGCGTGCCGTGGGAATGCACACTCTCCAATCTGCAGGGGGCTGAGGGCCAGACCTGAGGCAGTGGGAACAGCCAAAGGGGTAGGAGCGGAGTTGGGGGCCGGCCCTGGCCATCCCGGCAAAACGCTGGGGCTGCGGGAGGGGCTGAGATGAAGTGGTCCTGTCCTGGGACTAAACAAAACCTGAATGACCCAGAGAAGGACTGGAGGGGTCAGAGCCAGAGAATCCGAGTGAAACCTTAGTGGAGTTTTGAGGTGGAAAAGGAAGCAGTGGGGTCTGGGGCGCCGGGGGTGGGGTTGCGGCGGGGGCCTGGCCCCTCCCCCATGAGGCTCACAGCGGGCCGTGACAGACCAGGCGCTGTGTCGGGGACAGGGGCTGGGGGTGGGGCCTCACCGTGGCCAGGCGAGTCTGCTCCAGCTGTTGCAGGCTACGCACGTGGCTCGCGAGCAGCGGCTGCCCTCTGGGTCCCGCCAGCTCGGTCTCCACCGCCAGCACCTCTCGCGAGGCGGCCGCGAAGGCCTGGGTCACCTCGTGCACCGTGCTCCGGTAGCGCGGGAAGTCGTAGGGCGGGCCGCTTCGCAGGTACTGGAGGTGGCCTCTGTGGCAGGTGGGGGTCCTGAGGCTACGCCCTCAGCTTCTCAGGCCCTGCACCCGCACTGACCACCTGAAAGCCCCCAGGAAGTGTCCCTGGACCCCAGAGTGTGGAGGACGCTCTCTGACTCCCGCAGGGTAACCGGAGATGGGCCCACTCCTGCGCTTGGGGAAGGGCGAGACGCCACGTGCAGTGGTCCATCCGGCAGTGGGGCCGCACCCTGGGTCCCAGAGGGGGAAAGCACAGATCTGGTCCCCCAGCGAATCCCGCCCCACCTCTGACAACGCAGCCGCACGGGGATTCAGCTCCGCCCCCAGGCACGCCCATCCCCGGAGCCGGCAGGGGCTGCGCTCTGCGACCCCTGCCCACCCCTGCGCCCGCACTTACTCCTCCAGCCGGCGGAAGGCCTGCGCGCGCTCAGCCTGCAACTGGTGGATGCGCTGCACCAGCGCCCGGATCGGGGCATCTTTCTACGGAGCGGGGGGCATGGCTGGGGCATGAAGCCGGCGCCCCCAAGCCTGCACCGCCCACCCCGCGCCTGTTCCTGCTCGAGCCCGGGCTCACCCAGGGCCACGCTGGCTCCTCGCGCTCCGGGACACCGGTAGCCACTGCAGTGCCGGGCACCGAGGGGACGGCGGAGTCCGCCACGGCCTCGGCAGTGATCATGACTGCGCAGCCCCGGCCCCGCCCAGGACTACGGTGCTCCGCTGCGCCAGGCGCCCCCTGCAGGCCCGGAGGTTTTCCAACCTCAGCCTGTGGCCAGCTAAAACGGAAACCTGAAGATCCGGAGCAAAGACCGGAGTCTTAGGCCTCACCTGCTCCACCCACCCCCCTGCTTGTTCCCGTCGAGCGCGAGCGCTTGCTGTCTATGGTGTTTGTCCTCGAATGTAAGGCTTCGTATACAGCAAGGCCGACCCTCGGTTTGTATACATTTATCCCAACATCATTTCAACCTCACATCCTGTCCCCACTCCAATAAAGAAAACAGAACCCGAGAGGTTATATTCTGTCGTCCAAGGTAACATGGCTGTGACATGAGCATTTGGACAGAGGTTCGATACTGGAGAGCCCAAAAGGCTGGAATCCAGCTGTTGAACAAATGTGGCAGGGACTACATGCGCTCCTCAGAAATGACCTGAAAGAGGGCCTGTGCAAAGGCTCTCAGAGTCTGGGGTAGGCACAAGGCCAACAGGGCCTCATTTTAAGGGCAAGGCAGGCTTCGGAGCTTTCTGCTGGGGATACACTATGTAGTTTGAGCTTTGGGAAGCTTCCTTCTCCAGGGATAAATGTGGGAAAGGCCAGAAAGATATTGGTAGCCTAGCCCTAGGGAGCAGGGGGCAGTTGCCAGGGGGAGGAGACCCACGAAAAATCAGACACCAGCCTTTAGCTGGCACCCCAGGTCTCAGCAGTACTACAGCATTACTGTCCTGGCCTGTCATCTGACACCAAGTCCAAATCACCCTGAGACTAGAGGATGGCCTTACCAGGGCCAGTCCAGGGCACAAGAAAGCTCACCTGATTCTCAAGAGCATCAGCACAAGTTTTATGAACACCAAGGCTCACTCCTCCAAGATTGAGGTCATAGGTCTCAGGTGGGGCCCAGGTGCTCCTCATGTTCAGCAGGGAACAGGTTTGACACTAGGTGGGGTGTTGGTCTACCCACCCACCCTCAATACCTCCAGGGCACAGGCATGAAAGTCATCAAAGTGCCTAAGGAGGGCCCAGCCAGTGACATAGCTGATCTGCAGGCCCACAAGAGCCTGGGCTGGGGGGGGAAGGGTTCTTTATTCCCATTTATAGATGACAAAATCCAGATGTGCAGGTTCACTAGGTTATGTGGCAGAGAGCCGAGACCACAGCACATTTTATAGATGAGACAACCAGAACTCAAAGGACACAGGACGCTCAAGGGCTAGGCAGACTCAAGTGACAGGGAGTCCCTAAGGGAGAGGCCCACAACTCAATCAGCTCCTCGTTGGACAGACCAGCCACGCAGACACCAGTTACTGCTCCAGTCAATGAAAGGGAAACTTTATTGAGGCCCCAGGGCCTTGGGGCTCGGGCAGAAGGCCGCCCTGCGGGAAAAGGAAGAGCCGGTGGCAGGGCCTTATTTGACCTTCTTTTTGGGGCGCAGGTTGTTGGTGTGGCCGCACTTCTTCTTGCGGCAGTTGACAGCGCGGGGGTGCAGGCGAGCATAACACCTGCACAAAGATGAGAGAGACCAGTGAGGGCACACCCCAACCCTAAGCCCTCCCCACCAGGGCTGCCACCCACCCCCCTCTGAGAGTACACACTTGCGGCAGATCATCTTGTCGCAGTTGTATTTCTGGGCCAGCTGGCGGAGGGAAGGCTCGATGATGCCACCCCGGAGGCGAAGCACCAAGTGCAGGGTGGACTCTACAGGAGGGTTAAAGAGAGACAGTGACTAAGCCTGGCCCCAGCACCTCAGGTGCAGAGTAGGGTCCTCCAGACCAAAGCTTCTCAAATGTGATGGGGTATTCTACACACAGATGGCCACACTGGCTCAGACCGCCCCACAGAACCTCCATCTCACTTCCCACTAGCCCCTGGGGAGTCTGAGGCTAATACATGCCAACTATAGTGTGCATCACGGGTTCCTGACAGACAAAGCAATTTCTAAGTGGTGCAAAGATGATCTTTCACCTTGCTGAGCAAAATAATTAAATCTAGTTGCTACAAAAAGTGACATCAAGGGGGTGCCTGGCTGGCTTAGTCAGGAGAGCATGTGACTCCTGATAATAAAATCTTTTATTTTTATTTACTTATTTTTTAGAAGATTTTATTTATTTGTCAGAGAAAGAGCGAGCACAAGCAGGGGGAGCAGCAGGCAGAGGCAGAAGCAGATTTCCCACCAAGCAAGGAGGCTGATGCAGGGCTCGATCCCAAACCTGAGATCATGACCTGAGCCAAAGGCAGATGCTTAACTGACTGAGCCACCCAGGAGTTCCCAAAATCTTTCTTTTTAAAAAACTTTATTTATTTTAGAGAGATAGAGCACGAGTAGGGGAAAGGGCAGAGAGAATCCCAAGCAGACTCCCCGCTGAGCCTGATCTGGAGCTGGATCCTAGGACCCTGAGCTCATGACCCCCGCTGAAATCAAGAATCAGTCACTTGGGCGCCTGGGTGGCTCAGCTGGTTAAGCGACTGCCTTCGGCTCAGGTCATGATCCTGGAGTCCCGGGATCGAGTCCCACATCGGGCTCCCTGCTTGGCAGGGAGTCTGCTTCTCCCTCTGACCTTCCTCCTTCTCATGCTCTCTGTCTCTCATTCTCTGTCTCAAATAAATAAATAAAATCTTTAAAAAAAAAAAAAGAGAGAGTCGGTCACTTAACCTACTGAGCCACCCAGGTGCCCCAAAATAAACTCTTTGGGGGGAAAAATGTGGCACCAATTTTTACAATAGTGATACAATTTCTCTTATCACCTTTTTTTTTTTAAACATCTTATCATTTTAAAGATTTTATTTGTCAGAGAGAGACGAGAGAGAGTGCACAAGCAGGGGGAATGGCAGGCAGAGGGAGAAGCAGGTTCCCAGCTGAGCAAAGAGCCTGATGTGGGACTCAATCCCAGGACCCTGGGATCATGACCTAAGCTGAAGGCAGATGCTTAACTGACTGAACCACCCAGGCATCCCTAAGATTTTATTTTTAAGTGATGTCTAGACCCGACAAGGGGCTTGAACTCACAACCCTGAGGTCAGGAGTCCCATGCTTTACTGAATGAGCCAGCCAGATACTGTTTTAGCGCATTTTTAAACAAAACAGTCTTAAAAGGGTGTCTGGGTGGCGCAGTCGTTTAGCGTCTGCCTTCGGCTCAAGTCATGATCCTGGGGTCCTGGGATCGAGCCCCGCATTGGGCTCCCTGCTCCGCTGGAAGCCTGCTTCTCCCTCTCCCACCTCCCCTGCTGTGTTCCCTCTCTCGCTGTGTCTTTGTCAAAATAAATAAATAAAATCTTAAAAAAAAAAAAGGTAAGCAAGTACGCAAGAACATGAGAAACCACTGCCACTTGGAAACCTAAGTGGAGACCATAAGATCCTTCCCCCCAACAAAAACATTACTTCATAAAAGTAAAACTCATCAGCCCCATCTGATCCTCACCTTAAGACAGCCTCCCCCCCCGCCCCGCCACTGCCAATGAGGCCATCAAAGCTTGATCCTTGGTCCTAGACCTCATGGGGCCCTGTCCAGCCACCCTACCCCCAGTACCTTTCTGGATATTATAGTCTGACAGAGTACGGCCATCTTCCAGCTGTTTGCCCGCAAAAATCAGACGCTGCTGGTCAGGCGGGATGCCTGGAGAGAAGAAAGCTCAGTTACTGAGGCTCTGGCAAGCATATTATTGGCAGTTTCTCCTCTCCCCACAGGGATGCTCTGGCATTACCCCCAATCTGTCAAAAGGGAAACTAAGGTAGAGAGAACAAGCTGCTTTCCCAAAATCACACAAGGGAAGTACCAGCCAAGGCTGAGGTCTATACAAGCCCAGCACCCATCTTGCACATGACAGTGGCTCCTCTGGGTTGGGGACTCCTGCGGGATAGCCTCTGGACTCAGCCCAACTCACCCTCCTTGTCTTGGATTTTGGCTTTGACATTCTCAATGGTGTCACTGGGCTCGACCTCGAGGGTGATGGTCTTGCCCGTCAGGGTCTTCACAAAGATCTGCATCTCTGCGTCTGCTGGAGGGTAGGGAGTAGGAATGGAAGGGTGAGAACTGCAGTCTGAGCAGCTTGAGCTCAGGGGCTGGCAAGCCTTGGCCCTGCCAGCCTTGTGCCAGCATCAACCACAACTACAGGCCCATCCCAGTGTCTGTTTCCTTCCACCCCTCTAAGCCTGCAGCCCAAACTTGTCCTGTAATCAAGGATCATGCTTCCTCCACCTTACCCGGGGGCCCCTGTGGCAAAGTGTGCTTCACGGGACAAGGACTGTGGTTATGCTCCTTGGGCCCAGCAAATGAGATTGTCAACTTTGATGATGGAATGAGAAGTACACGGCTGGGGCACTATTTTGCCAGACACATTTTCTGAGTGTGGTCTGGAGATCTATCCTCCCTCCCCTCCCCCTCTGTAAGCCACATTTGCTCCACAAGCAACCGTTCCTGCAACCTGAGTGGGAATCCCATTTTAGTAGCCATCCCTCCAACACACTTTCCTCCCTTGCAGTTCTCTCCAACTCCAAGCTCAGACACCCAACACACTGGCTTCCTTCCCAGTTTATACCTAAACTCGCCAGACCACGCTTCCTGCCTTTGCTCCAACCCATAAGCAGTATCTGCCAACCACGTGCCAGGTACTTGTTTACACATAATTCCATCGTCCCCCCCGCCCCCAAAAAAACCCTAATTGGTGGACGCTACCACTCTCTCCTTACGGATATATTAAAGAAGGCAAGTAGAAAATAACCTTGTAGGGGGAAGAGGAATTGGCGCTGTTACATGGCACAGAAAAAAGCTACACGCTTCATACCCCTCCTCCATTGAGAGGTTTGCCCAGGAAGACCATCCACGCCCCCAGACCTCGTGGCATAGCTTGGGCTGGCAGGACACACAAGACACTCTCCCAAAGTCCGGTTCGCATCCCGGGACCCAGTCCGGGCTCCGAAACCCGGCCCCACGCGCCCAACTCAGCCGACTCGGCCGCCCTGCGGAACCTGGCCCACGCGGACCGGT